TCGACTCGGAGCAAACAAATACATGTCTTGATGATCCATCAGTTGTCGTAGATGATGACGATACAAACAGTAATGTTGAACTTCGTAGGAGTGATAGGCTCAAGGGTCGTCCTTCTATTTCTTATAAAGAAATCGATGATTACCTTATGTGTACTCAATCAATTTTGTGTAAAGTACCAAATTCATTTCATGAGATTAAAACTCGATACGATAGAGCTCAGTGGGAAGGTGCAATTAATGACGAATTAAATTCATTATTATTAAATGAAACATGGACTTTAGTACCGCGACCGGATGGTAAAAATATTGTAGATTGCAAATGGATTTTTAGTATCAAAAATGATGAATTTGGAAAACCTTTACGTTACAAAGCTAGGCTTGTTGCTAGAGGCTTTAGTCAGCAATATCTCATTGATTATAATGAGACCTTTGCACCTGTTGCAAGAATAGCTAGTTTTAGGTTCCTTATTGCTTTTGCTAATCAATATAACTTGCTGATTCACCACATGGACGTAAAAAACTGCATTCCTTAATGGGGTATTAAAAGAAGATATATATATGAAAGTTCCAGAGGGTATATCTTGCAAACAGGGTTATGTGTGCAAACTAAATAAAGCGTTATATGGGCTTAAACAGGCAGCTAGGTGTTGGTTTGAAATTTTTGAGCAGTCACTTAAAGAGAAAGGTTTTCAAAATTCATCAGTAGATAGATGTATTTATGTACTAAATAAAGGTGATATACAAAGTAATATTTATGTGATACTTTATGTCGATGATTTGGTTATAATTAGTGCTAATAAAATAACAATAGATGATTTTAAAATGTATTTAATGAATAAATTTAAGATGACAGATTTACAAGAAATAAAATTGTTTCTTGGAATTAAAGTCACTCGTTCTGATGATATGTTGATGTTAGATCAAAGTGCTTATATTAAAACAATTTTAGCTAAATTTGGCATGCAGGATTGTAAACCCGTAAAAACTCCTTTAGAGAGCAAACTTGATTATGAAGCACTAAATTCAGACGAAAACTACAATGCTCCATGTCGTAATGTAATAGGTTGTCTGATGTATATAATGTTATGTACTCGACCCGACTTGAGTACTAGTGTTAATATACTGAGTAGGTATAGTAATAAAAATAGTAAAGAATTGTGGCAATGTCTTAAAAGGGTACTTAGATATTTAAAAGGCACAAGTGATTTGAAGCTATGTTATAAAAGGTGTGAGTATAATAACATCTTAACTGGTTATGTAGACTCCGATTGGGGAGGTAATGATACAAATGACAGAAAGAGTACAACCGGGTATATATTTAAATTATTTGAGAAATGTACAGTAACCTGGAATACTAAGAAACAACTGTCAGTTGCAGCCTCTTCCACTGAGGCTGAGTACATGGCTTTATATGAAGCTGTTAAAGAAGCCTTATGGCTTAAGTCCTTAGCAAAGAGTATTCATATTGATATTTCTACTCCTATTGTAATATACGAGGACAATAATGGCTGTATTAGTATAGCAAATAATCCGACTAATCATAAGCGGACAAAACACATAGATATAAAGTATCATTTTTCTAGGGAACAAATAGAGAAAAATGTAATCAAGCTTAATTACATTCCTACAGGTCAACAACTGGCAGATGCATTGACAAAGCCGTTGCCTGCAGTGACGTTCCACGAAATGACACAAAATATGGGTTTGCAATAATGAGTTATGATTATTAAACTTATGTTAAGATTTGTTATTGATTATATTATGTATTATTGATTATTTTGATGGAATGATCTGATAAGGTTTTACTGGGTTTTCCTTATCCGAGCAACAAATGTTGGATCATTATAATTGTATTTTTCCCAGACCTACTTGGAAGATATACAGTTCTGGTTAGGCAGATTGTTATTGTACTCCAGATTAATTTTTTGAGGGGGCGTGTTGATTTGTTTGATTGAGATTGCAAAAAATAATCTTTGTAATGACAGTTTTTAATGACGCAATCAAGCCGCCATCTTGTTGTTTACTTCGATCTATCTCTAACGATTTAAATTTCATTCCGTTATACTCTGTGGTAGGATCCAGACGTATTACTTCCAAGTTTTAAAAGGATAATATAAAATTATCGTACTTGAATGTCTGCGTGTTTTATTATCAGCCCCTGCCTAAATTTCAACATGTACATACAGGACTTAGTATTTAAAAAAAGTTAAAATGATGATGACGTCATTAAGTCCACCATATGAATGGCTATCCATGAAGTGTTTAAAAAAATTGGTTCATTTAGACCAGGAAGGCACTTTTCTACGTCAAAACAGACCAGGAGGCGACCAGATTAGCGCAATACCTCGGCGAAGCGGCGGATGCGGCTCGTCAGGAGTACCCTTCGGCCTAGTTGGTGTTACTGGGGGACTTTAACGCTCATCATCAGGAGTGGTTATTCCCATACCAGTGCACCGACCATGCTGGAAGGGAAATGCGTAAACTTGCGCTTTCGCTTGGCCTGACCCAGCTGGTCCAGGAAGCCACAAGGGTGCCCGATGTCGATACGCACACTGCCAATTGCTTAGACCTTCTGCTGACAACTGATCCAGACCGCTACTCGGTGACAGTCTCATCACCTCTAGGTAGCTCTGACCACTGTCTGGTGAAATCTGTATCGACACACTCCCCACCAGATCCGAGTCCCAGAGGACCTCGGCGGATGTGGCGATACAAGTCAGCGGACTGGGATGGGATGCGATCTTTTTTCGCTTCCTATCCTTGGCGGCCTGTCTGCTTCTCTTCTGATGACCCGTCAGCTTGTGCGGAAGCCGTAACAGGGGTGCTGCGCCAGGGCATGGAATACTACATTCGATTCTCGGACGTGGCATCCTCTGGTGGGACCCGTCCTTGGTTCGATGCCGACTGCGGACGTGCCGAAGCGCAAAAGCAGGCGGCATACTTGGCATGGGCGGATGCCAGGCGCCGTACGGCTGATGACATTCATCAAAAGAAGAGAGCCATACGGCCAATGTGGTTAAATCGAACTTCTGTCGCTCCTCACTTCCTCCGCTCCTGAGGTCTGACGGGACGCTGGCTCACACTGCGGTAGAGAAAGCGAATCTATTTGCTTCTCTATTTGCGGAGTCTTCGCGTCTTGACACTGGTGGCGCCTTCCCTCCTTCTGTTAATAGCGTATGCAAGACGAATATGTCGCAAATTCGCATTCGACAGAGGGAGGTATATAGGACGCTACGCGATCTGGACGTGAACAAGGCCAGTGGTCCCGACGGAATCCCAGCCCTGGTTTTAAAAACCTGTGCGCCTGAGTTGATCTTGATACGTCTGTTTCGCCTTTCCTTAGAGACGGGTCTAGTACCGGTTGCATGGAAGCTGGCCAACGTACAGCCTGTGCCTAAAAAAGGTAGTCGTGCCGACCCTAACAATTACCGCCCTATTTCGGTCACGTCCATACTCTGCAAGAGCATGGAACGTGTACTTAACAATAGACTCCTGGCATACCTTGAAGGTAACGATCTCCTCAGCGATCGGCAATACGGGTTTCGACGTAACCGATCGACTGGGGACCTTCTTGCGTATGCCACTCACATATGGAGCGAGGCCATAGAGGGGCACGGAGAGGCATTAGCAGTCTCCCTCGATATTTCGAACGCCTTTGACAGGGTATGGCACGACAGTCTAATCGACAAGCTTCCTGCAAATGGACTTCCTACTGGTCTGTGCAGATGGATAGCAGACTTTCTGAGGGATTGGTCAATACGAGTAGTCATCGATGGCTGCTCGTCTGACCAATTCGGTATTAATGCCGGCGTCCCTCAGGGGTCAGTACTTTCAGCGACGCTCTTTTTGCTGCACATAAACGACCTGCTTAAGCCCGGTATCTTTGGGTATGCAGATGACAGCACAGTTGTTGAAAGGTATGTGTCCGGTGCGCGGACTAGCGGAACACAGATCCAGTCTTTAAGAGAATCCATGGTCGAACGTTTGAACTCGACCTTGAAGGCGGTGTCCGACTGGGGTGACGCCAACTTGGTTAGGTTCAATTCTAGCAAGACCCAGGCGTGTCTATTCTCCGCCAAACGGAGTCAATTTCCGCTGACTCCTACTTTCCGGAATGTATCCGTACTGATAACCGATTTTTGAGCTTCTTGGTGTAACTCTGACGCCCACACTCAACTTTGGCTCCTATATAGAGTCAAAAGCGCAACTGGCTGGTAGGAAGTTGGGTGTCCTATGGAGGGTGAGACGGTACTTCACGCCGAAACAATTGCTGACCCTGTACCAAGCACAGGTTCGGTCCTGTATGTAGTACTGCTCTCATCTTTGGGACGGCTCGGCAAAATATCAGCTGGACGCGTTAGAGCACATTGAGAGGCGTGCCAGGAGGCTCATCGACGATGATGCGCTTGTGAAGGCTCGGCTTCAAAGCCTCAAACACAGGCGTAAGGTTGCAAGCCTTTCGGTTTTCTACCGGATACATTTCGGGGAGTGTGCGGGGGAATTGCACAACTTGATTCCCCCTAGTCCTTTCCATCACCGCACCACAAGACAATCCGCAAAGCGTCACCGATTCATGGTAGATGTTCCGCCCACACGCACGAAGCGCTTCGCTTCAAGCTTCCTTGTGCGTACTGCTAAAGAGTGGAATTCTTTGCCAGAGTCTGTATTTCCTGAAGGGTATAACCTGGGAGTCTTCAAGGTCCGAGTGAATAGGTTACTTATGGGACGACGTGCTCCATCGTAGACCGCATCATCGCTTACCATCAGGTGAGATAGTGGTCAAACGTCGCCCCATCAAATTTAAAAAAAAAAACAAAATATTTAAATATTAAAAATATACATCTGTTGGTCAGTCTTTTCATGAAGCTATTAAAAAAAGCAGTACTTAATTCATCATTTTCGGGGAGATCGGCTCTCCGATCATGAGAGATGACATCAATAAATTAAGTCTACTTTCATATTAGTTGTAATTTTATCAAATTGATTGTACGACTACTTACTTAATCCCACGCAAGTGTTCGCAGGGTGAATTTTGATCTGAATGATGACCAAAAGTAAGAAGGCCATGAGTAGACTGGCGACGTAGGCCATTAATATTAGCCCACATAGGTTCTGGAGTTCAGGTAACAAGAAGTATACTATCAGCACCAACAGCATGAAGAAGCAGGATACCAGTGTAGCTGTAGACAAATTAAATTGTTTAATTAACGTACTTAAGTTCCTCCTCTGTGCCTTTTCCGTTGTGGATACGTTTTCTGGATGGGCAAGGTATTATTAGGATATTTCCAGTCATTAAATTTTTGGTGACTTCATGTCAAACGACTGAACAGTATCCCCAGAGGATATCTTTAAATTAGGGTTAGGGCATTCCATAGAAAAACAGACTGAACAAAGAAAGAATAATAAAGGAAATTGTTGAGATGAGAAAGGCGAAGATTTATTGTATTTGTGGTTTGCACAAGTGTATTGAAAGTAAGAGGATTGATAGCAAGGTAAGAAGGGCAAATCTAGGAAGAAGAATAAAGTAGGCAAAGCCCCCTTAGCTCCCCCTAGCCTGCCGAATGGGCAATTCATTTATTATAATAGAAACATGACCGTATTTGCTTAGGTTGAAACAATTCGAATTCTAGGTTATAAAAGTAATAGGTGTTAAAATGACAAATGTATTTTTCTTTGACTTTACCACAAGCCTTAGCGTGAGTCTATTAAACTGTACCGACTTCGTTCTCAAGTCAAACAGTTTGTTCATTCCATTTAACGTGTTATTACAGAGAAAATTGAAAATCCCGCCTATACCTGGAATAGATCAGTTTCTGTGTATTAGTAATTATTATTAACTACTACATACACCTGTTAATTACTTTAAGGAATAAATTGTACGATGACAAAATTCTTGTAATTGGACGCATGTCCATTTCTATGTATAATTTGTAAAATAATAATATTTAACAATTTACTAATATAGAAATAACCTTATCAGGGTATGATTCATTTTGTTTGTGGCCATATACTCTATTGAAAGAAGAAAGAAGACCAAGTACCCTTTCTATGATATCCTTCAGCGGTTAAATACATGAAAATAATAATAATTATTTTATAGAAATAAACATGATTTTGCCTGCAATAAACTGGTCAATAAATAGGTAGTATCGCCAGCGTCGCCGTCTGGTAAATTATTTTAAAATATGTGACACATATTTTTTATTTTCTTACGTAACCAAATACTTTGGAAGATATATTGATTAGAAATATCGCGTGACGTCACTTTTGTGTACGTTTTGTACTTTGCTGATAAACCATCAAACTTTTAAATTGCGATCTGGAATCTTTGATGTCATCACCAACCCTTCTGTATAGAAGAAGGTTATCGTCCAACAGGCGACTTTCACTAGCTGTAGATGTTAAGTCATGACCATATTTTGACAGGGACTAGGCGCTTAGGATGTTCGTGCTTTCTACCAGGATTCTTTTCATGGATTTGTTAAGAGAAAGTGTTACTTAAAAGAATATGTCGAAGTAGTACTCACCTGAATATACCGAGAAAAGCTTTACTAGTTTCGAAGTGAGTTGGCCGCGCCATATCGTCGCGACCGCGCACGCTGCTCATGAGGAAGAACCCCTCGGTGGTTCGCAACTTATAGAGCTTTTCTCAGTATATTCTCTTAATTTAGTACTCACCACTGGTTAAGTATATGTTGCTTTTTGGTGTGTCTTGGCTAGTTGGTAGAGTTATCCAGTAACCAAGTTTTGTCGCATTATTCTTTGGAAAAAATTTGTAGTCGATACAAAAGTTCGAGGGTGGTATGTGAGTCCATCGGTTGTAGGAATTCGGAAGCTCCCATTCAAGTCCCCCATTCTATAAGAATCACAAATAATACACTGTTATCTAAATATCTGCTACACATGGTATATGATGCTCGAGTACTCGTAAATATGATTGCCAAGCAAAAGTTCTTGGTTTCAGCGCCCAATAAAGGGGATTTGATCAAAAATTCTCAGACATTGGATGGAGTTTGGAATTGTAAAGAAATAGAATCGCCTCGTTAGTCATAACTTGTGAAAAGTCTGTTACATTTAATATCCTGAGATTTAGTAGTGTATTGGCATCTCTGCCTACTCCCATGGGAGACAGGCGTAAGGTTATGTATCTACATATAATGCGGCAGATTAGTTTTTAATTAATAATATATGTCTAATAGTACTTCCGCGAAGTCCTCAAACGCAAAAAAAGATGTAATGACCGAAATTGCGTTTCTGCATCTGCTAATTGGGCCTCCGGAGACCTCAGTCACACGACGAAACACAACGGAAGTGTTGTTTCACGTCGGTGTTCTATGAGGCCATGGTATCACTTCGGTCGAGCCGATCCATTCGTGCCGAAGCATGGCGCTCTCTCACTGGACGTGTGACATTATTTATGGTGTAAAAGGTATGTAGGTGTGGTGAGACCACCACCTTATCATTTACCAATATTGGTTAATTTTAAATAACACAATGGTGTATTTAATTTAACTATTCTCCACTAACTGGAACAGGAAATAACAATAAAATAAAATAAAAAACACACTTCGTAGGTTGCATTAATAGGAAAATATTACATTAAATATCTGGAACAATGTATTCCCCCTGTAAATAACACCGTTCAGTTGTTTTCCGTAAAGTTTTACCTTCGAAGTGAAGTTCTTCACTTACTTGTGTCCTATTCCTATTATTGTATTCTAGGGTTAGTACAACGTGATAGTACTTTGAGCATATCTTGAACTACTGTTTATATACTGAATATCGCATGTATGTATATTGTTTTGTACTCGTGTGTAGGTATATATATTATAATTATGTTTATTTATGTTAATCTCTGAAATATGTAAGTGTACCTATTTTATTTGCCCAATTAAATAGTTGCAGACTGGGAGAAAATGCCTGCAGCATTAAGTCCACCTTATGTACACATTGTGCATGAAGCTTAAATAAATTAATAAACTACTCACTAAGACTTCGTACTTCGATCTACAGTCTACATTTATAGAAATAACAATAATGTCAAGTCCCACCGTGTGCGTTACCCAGGCCAGATGTTGTCGAAAATGGTCTTTGAATCTTATATATAATTAGTTGTGCAGCTTCTGTAATTGTTGCGCACATTTTTAAATTTGTTGTGCTTATAGTTTTTTAATTATTTCACAAAAACATTTCCTGCTTGGGTAACGTTACTCCAGCCAGACCTTTTTTTTTCTAATGGGAATATTTAAATAATTATTAGCTATAAAATTAGTTGTCTAGATGAAGTAAATGTTGTGGCTTGTTTTGTATTTGTTCTTTCATCAGTTGCGAAGTTATTCGAGATTTTGCTGGGGTAACGTTTTTGATTTTGCTAGATCTTTGAAATGGTTAAGCGGATTCTTATCATATTTGGTACATGGCATCTTATTAATTAGTTCAAATTAATAAATAGCTTAAAAGTTATTTCATTAAATAGAAAAACACTTAAATTGGTCCCAGCACTCTCAATAAGAGCTCTGAAGACTTATTTTAAACGTTATTTCAAAGCTTGTAACTCCCTTCAAATGTATGTGAAGTTTCATTAGTATCCTGTAAGTATTGAACAAGTTATGATGATATTGAGTTTTTCACGAGCACGGTCTTAATGCGCGCGATGTTATTTGGCCACTGGATTGGATATTTGAACTGAATGTTATGTCAATAATTAGTTGTTTAGTTCAGTTATGCATCAGTAAAATTTCAGCTCAATACACTGGATAATTAATGAGATAATACGATTAAAGTCATTATGAAGAGAATGACTGTGATAACCCGACCAAGTTTAGGTGGTTACGGAAAAGCGAAAACGCAGAACATTATACTATCTTTTGAAATATTTAGTATAATACACCCTACAATTTCGGTACAGACGCGTACACTGTTAAATACAGTAATAATATTATAATATCTGTACTATGAAAATGCTCCTCTGGTGTTGCGATCAGGTGATCCGTCTGCTCGTTATTCCATAAAAAAATAACCTCGTCTCATCTCTTACACTAATTCACATATACATTGAATGAACGGGATAGCAATCGACGTTCCATAGTCCCTGCCCGAGGTAAGAACGAGATTTTTTTTTAATACGGGTTTATTTTACAATTCCGCTAAAGTTGTGGTCGTGGGCTATTCGAAATTCTGTAATTTTGCCTTTACCACAAGCGTTTGTTAGGCTTTGATATTTTTATCGGAAGTTGACACTTATACACTTTGAGATCTTTCACATTTAGGCGTCTTTAGTAGCGCGACAATCGTGCGACAGTCGCACGACAGCCACGCGACCATCGTGCTGCCAGAATATCACAGTTTAAACACAAACGTTGCGGTCGCGCGCTGCCGCCTCGTGTGTCAGGTGGCGATGAGCCAGTGTTGCAAATAAATCGTTTTGCCATCTCGTGGTCTTTTTGGATGACGTTTGACATTTGAATTGAAGTTTTACTAGAGATATGATGCTGATAAAACCGTGTAAAAATCGATTGAATAAATCTAACCGATAAAACGTACATACTAGAATAAATCGATTAGGGACAAAATATTAAAGTATTTATTATTTTCAAAATTGAAATATAGGTACCTACTACAGACTTTTTGGTGGCTACTAATCATCTTTCTCATAATGCGCAGGCCCATCTTGCTCATAAATTTGTATGCACTAGTTTATTATACTATAATTATGCATTATATATTGTTTATGTATTTTAGAAATGAAGTGCGCCCCACTGAACTTAACTGCGGCGCGGCAGCGGTGCGGCTGTTCTTATAATGTGAAGGTATGAGCTTATGCCGCGATAGCTTATGCTATCTATCAAATTTTATAAACTATATGTCTTACATTACGGCCAGCCCTTTGAAAAACAAGGCAGTTTTGTAATTTGCTTACTTAACAAAACATTTCTGTTTTATCACAAAACTACTGTAATTTTTAGGAAGTATTTATCTATTTTGAAGTCAGGACACATAATCGATAATGCTAGATTTTGATCGGTAAAACAGCGGTATAAATGTAAAAGAAATAAAATGTCAAAAAAACTTACATCGGTTACGTACAAATTGTTATCTAGTAGAGGCGGAAACTTCTTTGCATATCGCAAAAAACTCTTGTCTGCAAACTTGTTAGGTTTAATGTGAAATACATCATTAAATCTTCCAATGTAGGCCACATTACTATCATATACTTTTTCGGAAAAGGTAACTTTGTATGTCACTTTGAGGCATGTCATTTTAACACCGACCACGTAATCATTTGGGCAACATTTGTTGATATAACTGTATGGAGTCACATGATTGGTACCAGCAGTCGTAGTAAACACGATTAGAAGAAATATTAGTAGCGAAATGTAATACATAATGACGAGTATTCGCAACGGTGAACAAATTAATAATGACTTTACTTTCTGAAATTAGCACCTAAGTACCTACCTAAATGATAAGTATTCGTACAAATATAGTAAGTAAATGCTATAAGTAATTTTAAACATAAACGAGGAAAAGCGGCTAATGTGTAATTTATCTATATAAATAAAAAAGAAATTTCCGCTCGTTAGGTTAGCTAAAACTTTTTTTCAAGATTCCATATTACTGTAGCAAAAATACTAACGAAAAAATTGTAACACCAAGGTTCAAAAGACTTGCACAGGGTGTACTTTTTCGTGGATATCATATAAATCACTATGATTTAAAAACTGTATGTAAATATGTAAAAACTATATTTTTTTTATGAATTTTTCTAATATCTGTTGGATCAGATAGTTCCATTTGGACGTAGATAACAAGTAGCTTTACTCGTTAGAAGAATCATTCGTTTGGTTGATGTTGGAGTGTTGATGACTTCAAAGATGTTACGCTCACAGCTTTTACATTATGAGTAAAGGTCGCACATCTAACAGGCACGGCTCCGGCACGGCGTGGTTTCGAATTTGTCTACCGCTAGCCGTCAGCGCGCTTACGGTGCGCCGGCCGCCAGGTGGAAGCTTTTTGACACCTTGAACATGACGGTTCGTTGGCGGTTCGCTGGCGGCATGTAATAAGTGTCGAGTAAAAAGCCGACGGCGGGTACTCAGCGCGCGATCTGCTTATTGTATTATCGTTTTGAAATATATCATACGACATACGATTTAAAGTTTATATTTAAATGACTGCCTCGTTGTCCGAGTGGTCACAATTGCGACTGCGAGGTCTTGGGTTCGATTCCCGGGTCGGGCAAAGTATTAATGGGTTTTTTAAAAATTCTCAGTAGTAGCACGGAGTCTGGAACTGTGCCCGGTATATGGCAATAGGTTCAACCCCTATTACATCGGACGCATAACATGAATAGTGAAATGTGAATGTTACATTGTACAGTGCACCTCTGCCTACCCCTTCGAGGATGAAAGGCGTGAGTTATGTTATGTTTAAATGACAACTTAATTGCTGGGTTGGAGTCAAGTTTGTTTGGTGTGCGATGACAACTCGTTAAGTCGATATAATGACCAAAAGTAAACAATTCCTAAGAGCAGGCCGTGCTGATCCGTGATCAGATCGTCAGTACGTTGCCTCCGAGAACCTTTCTGTCCCAGCGGCCTTTGGTGTAGCTATATACTCAGTCCAAAGCCATTTAAACTTGCTATTCGGCTGGGCTATGTCGGTGACTTTAGTTTTTTGAAGATCTCTTCATTTCTGATTCAATCACATAAAGAAATACCAAGCATAGCGCGTTCCATAGCTCCGCGCTGAGGGCTCTTCATATTTCTTATATGACCTAGGTAATATAAAGTTGAATAACGAACAAATAATATAATATTAATAAATATGTTTTATGTTAAAGTTATACCTAATAAGTAGTGTTATCGACGTTCGGGCTTACTCATATACTCAATAATCATTAAATTTTAAACCTAATACAATTTCCAGGATTTCAAATAATAAAATATATTACATAAATGTAACTTCAGTATAAATAAATATGTACAAAATCAAATTAGGTACCTATGACAATAACAATACAATAATAATTATATTATTTTTAATTTAATTAATCAACATATGTACATATATGCATATACGTAACCATAAGTACATGTCATCACACCATATATAATATGAAACGTTAAAAACAATTATACACTACTATCTGTTCGCCACGACTTCGTCCGCGTATTTTTTTTTAATAATTATTTTTAGCGGAACTTGAGTTTTTAATTAGCTATTCCAAGGTTACCAAGGTCCAACATATCAAAACATATCATGATTAAAAAATGTTGATGATACAGAAATCTATACCTCACATTATAAATTGTTGTGTGTCTATTTGTTTGTTCGTCTTTCACGACAGAACGGAGCTAGAAATTGATGTCATTTTTTTGAGTTTATATAGTTGAAAGCATGGAGAGTACCTATTTGCTATTTTTATCTCTTTCTAACTCACTAATCACCGCCTCTTTTCTCCATAGACCGTCAAGACAGCATTTCCATCCCCATCATATAGGTGGTTGGCAGGCAGACAACTGTGCGCTTTTCTCGTAAGTTTCTGCCTCGCACAGCAAAACTGACTGATCTTCAAACCTTCAAAAAAGGCCGTATTCCTTTTTAAAAGGCTAACAACGCACCTATGACTCCTCTGGTGTTGCGGGTGTCTATGGGCGGCGCTGATCGCTTACCATCAGGTGATTCGTCTACTCATTTGTTTCCTGTTCCATAAAAACCACTTCTCAAAAACAGAGAGTGGAAGTTCGTATGTAGCATTTCGCAATTGAAAATGGAATTGTTTAAAGCTAAAATTTGTGTCCAGCAAAAAATCGTACATCTTTGTTTTTTCTTTTGTAGACCTACTGCCAATCCTTTAAAAGAGGGCGAGCGAAGCCGTGGGCAGAAGCCACGCCAATCCATCAAAAAAAGTATTCAGTTTACAATTCATATTTTTGTTTAAAACCCCTGACCCTGATGCAGTTAAATACTATAATTAGTCCTTGAAAACAGTTTTCTATTGGCAGTCAAAGGCTTAAGAAATATTAGGAGATTTTTGGGAGTTTTTCACATACTTCGGGTTACAGGATCCCCTTTTTTTTCTCTTATTAAATGTAGCCTATGTTCACTAGGCATTGTAGGATTACAAGAGTCAAACAACTTTTCAAATCGGTTTGGTAGTTATTTAATTCAATACAAACCAACCATTAAAAATTCTATAGGCACCTTTCTAGTTATCTTTCCTCAAAGGCTAAAAAAATTTACATGCTTCCAAAGTTAAATATTTCATTCACATTTCTGATTTTTTTCTTGATTACTAACTGCAATATTTGGAATCTCCTGAATACTATCAAAAACTTAATTAGTAATCACACAGGGTTGAATATTAAATATAAGTCATTGAAAACTTACAGTAGGTATTTCATTATTCTCTGTCTCTGTCAGGGTCGGGATTTGTTGATCTCCTTTGGTATGCGGATTATTATGACTAACAAAAATCGTGCAATTAAACCACAATTTGGTACTTTTGAAACGTCAAAAATATAAAATAAATATAAGCCTGTTAGTGAAGAAGTGAAGACGGTCGTTCTACAATCTAAAAGGCGATTTTACAATCTCTGATACATATTTCAATATCGTACATATATGTGAGAACAATGTAAAGACACGCTTGACGCATCATAAAAATTACAGAACGTAGGAAAATAAAAAACAAAACAAAGTTTTATAGTCTAATAACATGGTGCTCACATATGTATACTGACAATCCATATAAAATGATGCTTCTATACAAGAAAAAAATAAACTCCTTGTTTTAATAAAGAAATATAAAGGACAATGGGCCAATTACATACAAAAAAATCCCACGACCAACACAAACCAAACCTAGCTTAAATTATTGGACTGCAGATGTCGTCATGTCGACCTTATATGGCCTACATTAATTGTTTATTCAATATCGCTGGAGGATCAGAGAAATACCATAAATGATTTTTATTTGACCTACAACGATGGTTAAATAACTACCTAAAGCGTACGGCGCGTCGCGTTCCGTTCCTCAAAGCGCCATTAGACCACCACGGATGGGGCCTAATCGGCATCAGCCCTGCTGAAGACTGAAGACGTAGAACGGGTTACCGGGGCTCCGGCTCGAAGTGCAGGAGAAGGAACAGGGTGGTTTTTAGTCAGTAAGAGTCTGACACTCTCTCCCGCCTCAGCCAGGCGGGAGAAGCCATTCGATGATTTTGTCCCATTAAAAAAAACTCACTTATATACAAGATAAACATTCCAAAATTCATTATTTACATCCCTAGGTACTACTTGTACTAAAACTTACTAGAAAGGCAGTTCGATTATAAACTGCCAACCATCAATATTGAATCGCATGCGTGATATCATTTAGCAACGAGCTTCTCTACTATCCTATTGGTTATGTGCAAAGCGAGTAGTGGCGGGCAGATAACGACCGCAGCGCACAACACGGCAGAAATTGGAAATAAATGGGGATGATCAGCTGTCAAATGTGTTGATTGCAGTACAAAATCAAAGCAATGAAATGGACCATGGCTCGTATTAAGTAGCTCTGGCCGTTATGTCGCAGTTCTTCTACATTTCTTACATGCTCGGCTAATTATTTGCCTTTTGTCTCAGTTTGTGGTTGGAAACGAATATTATCACTACATAGTATACTTAAAACAAAGTCGCTTTCTCTGTCCCTTTTTATGCTTAAATCTTTGACACTACGCAACGGATTTTGATGCGGTTTTTTTAATAGATAGAGTGATTCTTAAGGAAGGTTTATATGTATAATACCTACATGCATAATATAGTAAAGAAACACTGATACATTTAGAAGTTTCTAATGTGATGCCGTGAATCAGCACGTTTTTTTGCGCTTATATTGCAAAAAAAGACCAAAATAATGTAGTACAGTATTGACCACCTTAAAAAGTTCAACAAAAAAATCCGCGATGGTATATGTTTATCTATTAGGGATAACCCACCATAACCATTTTTTATCATTTTCTATCAATGGTTATTTACGAAGTGATTTTAAACAATACAGCATTAATCCTTATCCAATTAAGTACTTTAAATAAATTGTGCATTTATCATAGATCAATATGTTTTTACAGCATGCAATTTAAGTGAATATTGCCGGAGGTATTACAAATTTAAAATGCAGGGACGTATTTGTTGCGGCGTTGATGGCCGCGCTTCGTCCTAGAGCACTTCATAACTTGCAACGAGCGCACGCGTTTATCGGAGCTGTCTAGGAAAATATCAATATAAAACATGTTTGTATTGTCTAATGACAAAATAACTGTGAACGTGGTGTATAAGGACATTTTGTAGTAGGTATTTTTACATAAGTATTGCACCCGTGCGAAGCCGGGGCAGTTCGCTAGTGTGTAATAATTTCAAACACAGTTTTTATTATTATATTCATTTTACAGTAAACCTATTGAATACATTGCACTTAAATAATGTCAACAATACAATTTTAATTTTTATCTATCCAACAGTATATCACATGTTGCTACTAATGTGTGGGCACAAACTAAATACACTGTTTATGTTTCGCATTGTCCTTTCGTTATTTTCCCTAACTGACAGCATATTATGTAGAAAAATAATTACGACTAATTGTTGTATATTTCAAGCCTAACATGGCGGCCTGGAGGTTTAAGATACCTGCTTCTTATGTATGAGGGTGTGGGTTCGAAACCTACTAACGGCAAATACCAAGGTGACTCTTTCCGAGTTGTATGTACTTTCTTAGATTACCTATTTAGACACCACTGACAAATGGTGAAGGAAAACATCGTAAAGAAACCTTGGCTTATAATTTCTATTTATAAGTTTGAAATCGCCAACCCGCATTGAGCAAGCGTGGAGATTAATGCTGAAACCTTCTCTGTATGAGAAGAGGATTTGCTCAGCAGTGGCATTTTGATGAACAAACCGACATAAATTGTTGCTGTTGGTTCTGGGCGAATTTTACTCAATCGCCTTTGTCAACATTATTGGATATTGAGGCGATCTATGAAGTAGATCTACATTTAGATATTAGGTAACTTCTTGTCGGAAGTATCTAATACTAAAATTATGGTTTTAGATTGACAGCTTCACAGGCAGAATCAGCTGATTGTTGTCTGGAAAGTCTAACAACTTGTGAGTTCGAGGATCCTCCCCTTTTGTACCGTGTTCTCAATTCATTGCACCTGCAAAAATAATTTGCATAATTGACAATGATAATTAGTTAACAAAAAAGACATGTTTTTATAATAACTATCGTGAGGCATACTAAATTAACTAAAACTCGCGGGTTACTCACGTGAATGTACTGAGGAAAGTTCTATTAGTTTCGAACCACAGAAGGGTTCTTCCAGCCCACTAAGAAACTAGTAGAGCTTTTCTCAGTATTTTCAAGTGAGTAACCCGCGATTTTTAGTTAAATAAACATGTTTCAACATTTAAGTGTGGGAGAGCCATGCTTCGGCACGAATGGGTCGGCTCGACCGGAGTGATACCACGGCCTCACAGAAAACCGACGTGAAGCAACGCTTGCGTTGTGTTTCGTCGTGTGAGTGAATTTACCGGAGGCCCAATTACCTTCCCCTTCCCCAATCTCCCCAATCCCTGAATCCCCAACGATCCTCAAACTCCTAATCTCCAAAGAGCCGGTAACGCACTTGTAACGCCTCTGGTGTTCCAGGTGTCCATGGGCGACGCCGATTGCTTACCATCAGGTGATCCGTCTGCTCGTTTACCGGCTTATGCCATAAAAAAATGTTATGTTTTCAGGTTCACAATAAGGTAGTTTCGTATGTTTTTAATGTCTTTCTGGTAGCGATTATTGTTAAGCATTACACAGGATTTTTTTTAGTTTATCGTGCAGCAAATATCGTCAAATACACTTGAAAGCAAAGAAACAGAGCCACTGAAACTATTCCTTTTACAACCAAATGCTCTAATTTTAAAGGTAACTAAATTGCCTTTCATATGACATACGTTACCAATCCATTAAATATATATCAAGAAATGAAAAAGTAAAAATGCTAATGCCTCTGTTTTATTGCTCCTAAGTGCACATAAAATACTAACATAACAAAACATCACGCTTTTTATCCCCGAAGGGGTAGACAGAGGTGCACATTAGGGCACTTAATGCCACTGTACAATGTGACACCCACTTTTGACTATTTATGTTATGAGTCCCATGCAATAGGGTGTGAGCCTATTGCCATATACCGGGCACAATTCCAGACTCTGTGCTACCACTGAGAATTTTTTTAAACTAATACTTTGCGCGACCCGGGCGTCGAACCCGAGACCCTTTGAGCGGCAGTCGCACTTGCGACTCGCCTAACGAGGCAGTCATATAAAATAATGTTATCTACCTTTTCCGTAGTTTAATCCAGACATCCTTCTTGCATATAAATATGATAAATATCGTCAGTCCCGTTAGTATATTGAATACGTCAGTAATGTAGTACCACTTATTGTTAGGGTATTTGAAACTTATTATCTCCAAGAACCAATTTAGACCCATCACAACTGACAGCTTTATGTAGATAATGAAACTGAAAGCATACAAAGCACTTTTAAGTTTTCTGAGTTAATTCCATCCGGTCGATGTTGATCGATGGGATCGATCGAGGATCGATCGTTTGGTGAGGTAACACCCAAAGAATCAAAGATCTATCTCAGTAGAGTATTAAGGGAGAAGCTCATACTCATCAGGGAATGCAACTGGGTTAAAGATGAAACAAGAACTTTTTTTTAAATGGTTATTAATGTAATTTTTTTCACTTAATATGACATAGGTACCTTGTTTTATAGTTTTAATTATTGTTAAAACTTCCATTTAAAAGTTTTGCACGCCCGAATAGGGTAGATGACTAATTTTTAATTTAATGTCCGTCTGGTTGATTCTTTTAAAACATTATACACGTATTTTTTATTTTTTTTATAGAAACTAATACTTTCGACGATATATTGATTTGAAATGTCCCGTGACGTCACTTCTATGTACATTTTATACGTAGAAATGACGTTTTAGCCTCCTAGTTTGCTAGTCGCGTAGAACCTAACGGGTAACTGGGGCTCCGGCTCGACGTGCAGGAGAAGGAATGGGGTGGTTTTTAGTCAGTAAGAGTCTGATACTCCCTCCCGCCTCACCCAGACGGGAGCAGTCATTCGATGATTTTCCCCCCTTAAAAAAAAGCCCCCACTCCTAAACTTTGATTCGTTATATCTAAGTATCATTTTATTATACAACGAAATAAAAAAATACGTGTCTAATATTTTTTCATTACCTAACTGACGGACTAATTAGATTTTTAATATTCATACCCTGTCATCATCCCTATTGTGGGCAGATTAAGAAAGACTATAGTTATACTGTGTCCACTGTGTATCTTTCAAAAAAAATGATTTTTGATTTCTTTTTATTTATTTTATTATTTATACGCACCTTCTAAAATCAGTACGATGACTAAGTTCATTGACTCCATTAAACACTTGAGTGCCTCTTTTCCAACGCCAAATGTTGAACACAGTTATCATGTAGAATGTCCAATTGATAATGATTATTATCATCATAGGTGTGTATAGGTAGAGCATTTTTACTGAATCTGAAATGCACAAGAGGACACTAGGTTTAAGTGTGGGAGAGCCATGCGTCGGCACGAATGGGCCGGCTCGACCGGAGTGCCTTACAGAAAACCGATGTGAAACGACGCTCGCGTTGTGTTTCGTCGTGTGAGTGAGGTTACCGGAGGCCCAATTACCCTCCCCTTCCCAATCTCCCCAATCCCTAAATCCCCAACGATCCTCAAACTCCTAATCCCCAAAAGAAAAATGATAAAAATTACTTTAAAATACGCGAACTCCACTTTCGCACTGTATTTGAGCTACCATATAATGAAATTAAGTATGATATGTATAATACATGCATATGAGATATAATTCATCACCATTGAGCAATGTAGAAAATAGTATTTTCTTTATCTTTTACTTTAGTGTATGGGCGTTAAGTGGAAAATTTAAAAACAAAAGACATTAATGTAGCATGTATTGCAACCCGTTGTGAATAATGTAAACTCAACACAATTTGACTTATTTAATATTAATTAATACTTTGTGTAAAATAAGGAAGCATACTTATCTTTTCCTGTCTGTTATTTTTCCTTATCTCTGTGTTTTGTTAAAAATACGCGATTTATCAAAAATATTGAACATGTGGGTATCGTTTTTTTGCAATAAATAAGGACAAAGTCAAGTACCGTGCGTAGCCAGCACCCACTTTATCTAAGTTTAGCTATATGGCGACATCTACCGCCGCATTTAAAATACAAGCTCACCTCGGAGAAAGCAACCGTCTTCAGGTATATGTGGTATTACGATCCGTGGATACCGTTTCATACTCTCCCTGTACCAGTTAAGCATACCCAGTGCGAACGTCATCAGAAGTGGTAGCCCCAAAGCATATAAGCAGTAAAATGTAAACTTAAATGATTTCCTCCGACGAGACTGGCGGTTCTTTGCGAGGTTTCTGTAATAAAAAAATAGTTTATTAATTTTTTTTTCAGCAAACAAAAATAATCATTAAATTTTTACCTAGTCAATGGTTCAGAACGCAAGTTTGAGTCGTACTTGGCCGGTTTTTAGTAGTTTATGTTTTTTGTTTACTTATTTATATAGTAACTTCAAATAAAATTATAGGCCACCCTATACAGTTGTGGGAGATGTGGGAGGGCCATACTTAGGCATAAATGGGCCAGCTCGACCGGAGTGATACCACGGCCTCGCAAAAAAACAGCACTTGCGTTGTGTTTCGTCGTATGAGTGAGGTTACTGGACGCCCAATTACACCCCTCCCCAATCCCCGAACCTCCAACAATGCTCAAATTCCTAATCCCCAAAAAATCCCACTTGTAACACCTCTGGTGTTCCGGGTGTCCAAGAGCGTCGCCGAATGCTTACCGTCAGGTGATCGGTTTGCTCGTTTGCCGGCTAATTCCATGAAAAAATGTGTAATTATCATATGGGATTGTAATACGAAAATATGGTTAGTTACCTGAAATGCCACCAGATATCGAAAGACAGTACATTTATCCAACAGAAAGTTGCCAAGAAGAAGAAGTAGGTGCCCAGAGCTGAAATAAAAGGATGAAGGTTTCAGCATATAAGTAAACATAGTCGTGTATTTATTTATTTCTTGAGACAAGAATGACAATATTCGTTAACCTATAAACAATGTTACCTCGGGAGTTGCAGACGTTTAGTAAACCTTACTGCCACCAAGATTAGGTTGTTTTTTACTAGACAATGTTGCAGATATAGTGTTGCTGTTAAGAATTTTGAAAAAAGAATACCTGCCATACCTAACTGTCTTGTGAGCCTGGCTGGCAATTAAGTCCCTACATGTACCTATTAAATAAAAAAAATTGCTTACTTAATCCAACACATTCTGCCACAGATAATCCAGAAATTTGTATCATAGATAGGAGCAGGAACGCCATTAGCTGACTGGCAACATACGCCATTTGAATGTAACCTTTCTCATCTCGGAGTTCAGGTAGGAAGAAGTAGACTATGAGGAACAGTAGCATAAAGAAGCAGGATATCAGTGTCGCTGTAAAAAAAAAAGAAATTTTAGAAGATATAACTTAATATCTATTACTTAATATTATCAATTATTATTATATCGCGGCAGACCCAAAAGGAGATAGTGGGATGAATTAGACATCTATGACAAGGATTGGCCGCAAAAAGCTTTACATAAAGAGGAGGGGAAGGAGGGTAGGGAGGCCTTTGCCCTGCAGTGGGACGATCATGGCTAGAAATAAATAATAAATATTATCAATGCGATAGTTTGCGAGGATGGACATATTTGTTACTATTTCATGGAAAAACTACTAAAGGTATTGGATATTTGATGTAGAGATAGATCAAAATCTCGAATAATACATGTATACCGGGAACATGGGCACATTAGTTTCTGACATTTTCCTAGATTTGGTCTACACTGTACCATTAAGGTATAATTTGTATGATTGTCTTAACACGTTACTTCTTAAACATTCTCTTGCCTTTTTCAAATTAAGTTACGAAATCGACCAGGCTCATAGTTAAACATGGTAACTGAATTATAAATTATAGCTAAGTACTTTCCTTTTATTTTTATTTTAATTATTTTATTTTCTCTATTATTTTAGTGTATTTTAAGGTGTACACATTTTTTCTTATTTTTAAAATTAATAGTATTTATGTAATCGACTAATATAATAAAAACACATTGATTTCTTTTTACAATCATAGATGGCACTTTTAACTAAATGAACATAGTCAAGTAAATAAATTTATGATATATATGTAGTATTCTTATAAGTACCTATAGTCAATAATTTGTTGGTTTCTGATTTTGTTTTGGCAGGAAACAGCACCCAAAAATCCGGTGTGAGCTCGGTAGCATTTGTTTTATGAAAGAAGTCTACACAGTAGTTGGCTGGACGTATTTTTATCCAGCGGTTGTGTCTGTTGGGTGCATCTACTAGAAGTGTTCCGTCCTGAAATTATAAAATAATAAACTGCCGTACTCAGAAATAAGTGTGTGTGAATAGGCCGGCTCGACCGGAGTGATACTACGGCTTCACAGAAAACCGACGTGAAGCAACGCTTGCGTTGTGTTTCGTCGTATTAGTGAGGTTACCGGAGGCCCTATCACTTTCCCTTCCCCAATCTCCCCAATCACTGAATCCCCAACGATCCTCAAACTCCTAATCCCCAAAAAGCCGGTAACGCACTTGTAACGCCTCTGGTGTTCCAGGTGACAATAGGCGACGCTGATTGCTTACCATCAGGTGATCCGTCTGCTCATTTAATGGCTTATGCCACAAAAAAAACATTTATTAATGATTACTTAACCTATTCCTTAGTAACGATTTTGTTCCGAAAACATTTGTTAAGGTTAAGTAGCCATTAAATGACACTGAGTACGGCCATAAGATTACAATTGTAACATCACCTTGGCTTTGTAGGTTCAATGCGCGCATACGCAAGCAAGTGAAAAAAACCACAAAAGCAAACAAAAATGTTGTGGCGGCCCGGGGAGGTCTAAGACTAGGCTTTTCATGCACGAAAAATGTAAACATTAAAAGTAAATAAATCAAAGGTTTTTAATAAAAAGAAACTCACCACACGCAGATATCCCTTGTACCCAAACAGAAAGGGTCTAAAAGCGCCAATTCGAAAATTTGTCATTATAAATCTATTAGGAGCCAGTTCAAACAATTCTTTAAACGGCTTCCTTGACTTCTTAAGATTCTCGTTAATATATACTGGCATATCAAAGAAACTATGCGTTTCTTCACTTAATTGACACGCCTTACCATTTCCTACATGTTCGTTTAATGAACAACACTTATTCACTTTTATTTTTGAACGATTTTTTTCTGGTATATCGATACCGAGTGTCGGCTGAACAATACACAAAACGGCCACAATTATTGACAATAGAATTATTTTGGAACTTATATTTTTACACTCCATTTTGATGTACCTCCGTGACTGACTGCAGAATAATTAATGAGAATGACGGGTTCACTTTGTAAATTAATTTATTTAAAGCGACTAGTAACAAACAAATGATTTAACTAAAATGTTCTAGGATAAAATAACATCTTATTATTACCTATGACAATAGGTTTATAGTTTAACACGAATGTTCATCTTCCTTATACACATTGCGAGCTCCCATGACGCAATGACGCACTTGTTGTAAAATTGTAAACAAATATTTTAGTGAAGCGTCCACTACTGAACTACAGAGAGTGAGTTATGGTTTTTCCACATTTAGGAACTCTCATTATCGGCAATGTGTTCGTCAGCGTGTAGGTACATGACTAATAACGTTTTACTTTATTGAAAAGTATTTTTTATTTATTTCTTTTAATTAAAACGATGCCCCAACACTACGATTTTCTCCTGTGTCGTGTGTGGGTTTACAAACATACGAGTTCACTTACATATGATACCCAGACCTGAAACAACAATCTGTGGAGCACACAAAGAGCTGTTCCGTGCGGGAATCGAACCCGCAAAACGTTGCGCCGCATCCAGATACCTAGCCACTGCGCCAATAGTGCAGTCGAACAATAGTGTTTAACCCAATTTAACTTAAATATCTACGACCAGTAAAAATTACGAGTAACTCATGTTAAATACTGAGAAAAGCTCTACTAGTTTCGAGTCACAGAGGGACTCTTCCTTATGAGCAGAGTGGGGTCGCGGCGATGTCACGCAGCTTATATACTAGTACTTTTAATATACTTGTACGTGTCACAATAGTTATTATAATAATAAAATAAAAACTGCGTTTAAAAAACCGACTTCAAAAACCAAAAACTAATAACAAACAAAAAGTCAAAACCAAAAAGCAAAAAATAACTATTAATAGTGCTGATAGGTTACCCACCCACTGATAGGTAAGAAGTCGGTGCCATAAGTTCCATACAAAATTATTCATTTATTTATTTTTATTTATTTATTTATTTATTTATTTAATATAATATAAAACCTTAATAGGTACCTAATTTACAATTTTGTGGACATTAAGTTATATCATTATGATATGAGCTTATGGCACCGACTTCTAACCTATCAGTGGGTGGGTAACCTATCAGTACTAATAATAGTTATTTTTTGCTTTTTGGTTTTGACTTTTTGTTTGTTATTAGTTTTTGGTTTTTGAAGTCGGTTTTTTAAACGCAGTTTTTATTTTATTATTTTACCATTTTCAGTGTAAAGCTACATATACCCGTCTTGTTACTTATAATGTACATAGGTGCAAAGTTCTAATCAATACAAATTGTACAAGCTCAAACACAAGGTAGTTACAGTATACCGTTGAGGAGTTCCCTTAACAATTACACTTCTTCATCATCAGACCCGTAATGACAGCCCCACTCTATTTAGGTGTAAAGTCCTCATTAATACAAATTAATCAAGCCCAAACTCAAGGTAGTTACTGTATACCGTTGAGGAGTTCCCTTAACAATTACACTTCTTCATCATCAGACCCTTAATGACAGCCCCACTCTATCTAGGTGTAAAGTCCTCATCAATACAAATTAATCAAGCCCAAACTCAAGGTAGTTACTGTATACTGTTGAGGAGTTCCCTTAACAATTACACTTCTTCATCATCAGACCCTCAATGACAGCCCCACTCTATCTAGGTGTAAAGTCCTCATCAATACAAATTAATCAAGCCCAAACACAAGGTAGTTAATATAAACCGCTGAGGAGTTCCCTCGACTGTCTGTCGACTCCATCATCAGGTCGACTTCAGACCCTTATCTAATTGTAGTGTTTAAAATTCTTAATTGGAAAACATAATAGACGCATTACTCCCCCATAGAATTTTCGAAAGTTCCCCTCGGTTTCCCTAGGATCCCATCATCAGATCCTGACTTCATGGAAATGGGACCATCTCGACAGTACACCCTTTCAAACAAAACAAAAATTTTTGAAATCGGTCCACAAACGGCGGAGTACTGCGCGAACAAACAAAAAAAAAAAAAACAATCAGCCGAACATAGTACCTCCTCCTTTTTTTGAAGTCGGTAAAAACAGGACACATTTAGAACCTTTTTTTTAAAGGAAAAAACATTCGGTAGAATTAAACTCAACAACATAGTGGTTTTGTGGTGGTGATGTTTTTGAAATTACCCATTTTCCTTTACACTTAACTTATCATCAGTGTTAAGAATTTTATAAATAATTTAGTATTTTTGGGTAGCTAATAAACCAAGGAAGTTTTTCTAATAGTTTGTACGCTTAGTGTAATATCAATTTTTTAAGCTAAATGCAGTTTTCTATTGACCTAATTAGTGACTCAAAACAAAATTTGATACTAATTTACTTGCTTTTTTAAAACGAATAATATTTCTACCTGTATTAGTATTAACAAATGTTTATTGATGTATTGACAACAAATTAAAATTAAAATTACTTAAATCAAACAAGTAGTTTTTTATTTATGGATGTTTTTGTAGTTCGATCGGGAATTTTTTACCAAAACCGAAAATGTTGAATATCTCAGAAACTAGCCAGTTTTGGACCAGAGACCCTAACTAGGACCAGGGCTAATTTTCTAGGAAATTAGTTGTATTATCACCTCTTGAGAGGAATACGTCGATTTACAAGTCACCCTGTATGTATATATACATATATAGGTACATAGGTATGCCTACTACAATATGTAGCCAATAGCTACTCTCACGTGGTGTCGTTGATCGTAGCGTAGTAATGTTTTGTAGCCTACGTCACTCTCTAAAGTAACTACAAAACATAGATGGCACTTAAAAACTTACGTCAATTCACCGCTACGTTCTGCCGTGGAAGACGGACTAACAAACAGATACACACTTTCCCACTTATTAAGGTAGTATCGATGTAAGAGATGAAGTAACTGTTCACAAACAACACATTGAGATTTCATCTTGAGTTTCAATGCTGTGTAAGGGTCAGATAAGGTCTTTTGTAATATCTCTCTTAAAAGTAAAAATTAAATTGCAATAATTTAAGGTGTTTGTAAGTACCAATGTGACTTATTCCGAGTCATATGTACTTTCTAAGATTATTTAGACACCACTGACAAACGGTGAAGGAAAACATCGTAAGGAAACCTGGACTTATAATTTCTAATTATAAGTTTGAAATCACCAACACGCATTGAGCAAGCGTAGTGATTAGTGCTTAAACCTTCTCAGTTTGAGAAGAGGCTGCTTAGCAGTGTTGAAGGTGTTTGCTGAAGTCCAGTATAGTTTTGTTGTATGCCTGTTTTTACTTATACGGAGCATTAACTCGTCGAGTACCGGTTTTATAGACACAATTAAAGAACAATAGGTCGCGGTCACCGGTGACCGCTTGGTGTTTGACAGTTTAAAAAACGAATGTATTACCACAAAATTATGTGTAACAAGGGAATGTGTAATGTACTGTCGTGGTTAATTACTGTTATTATCCTGTAAATATGAGGTACTAACGTTCATTTTTATGATTCATTAATAAATGCACAAGGAAAGAATAGTTTAATGCAGGGCTGTCCAAACAAACTGACTGCCTCATTGGCCGAGTGGTCGCATGTGCGACTGCCGGGCAAGGGGTCTCGGGTTCGACTCCCGGGTCGGGCAAAGTATTCCTGGGTTTTCCAAAATCTCAGTAGTAGCACGGAGTCTGGAAATGTGCCCGGTATATATGGCAATAGGCTCACCCCCTATTACATGGGACTCATAACATAAACAGTGAATAGTAGGTGTTACATTATACAGTGGCATTAAGTGCCGTAATGTGCACCTCTACCTACCCCTTCGGGGATAAAAGGCGTGATGTTATGATATGTTATGTTGTGTCCAAACAAAGGCCGCATGCGGCCCGTGGCTCGTTTTCATGGGGCCCGCGACACATAATTTAATCTCAACATCTTCATTTGTGGTGGTGATCATGTCGTGGTGGCCCGGAGGTTTAAGACGCCCACTTCTCATGCATGAGGGTGCGGGTTCGAAACCTACCAACGGCAAGTACCAATGTGACTTTTTCCGAGTTATATGTACTTTCTAAGATTATTTAGACACCACTGACAAACGGTGAAGGAAAAACATCGTGAGGAAACCTGGACTTATAATTTCTAATTATAAGTTTGAAATCGCCAACCCGCATTGAGCAAGCGTGGTGATTAATGCTCTAACCTTCTCCGTGTGAGAAGAGGCTTTGCTCAGCAGTGGGCATTTATAGGCTGTTGATGATGATGATGATCTTCATTTTAATTGCAACAACAATAATAAAATTCAGTGTAAGATTTGTATATAAGTTTTGTCTGTGAATAAATAATACAATGTTAAATGTCATTATACAATTGAAAATGTTTTTCTGGCCCTCCAGCTTTTCTAAAAAATTTAATTAGCCCGCGAGGGTATATAGTTTGGACAGCCCTGGTTTAATGGATACATAAAGCGTTATCTTTGAAAATGTTTGACGCATGCGTGTTGTTGCGTACCTACCTACATTATGGTAGGGTATCGTATTAATTGAACAAATAACCAAGAATTGGAAAAAGGAAAAAGAGTAACCATGTCGTTACTTGTTCCTTCTTTTCCATAGGAAGCTACACTTTGGAATGAACAAATTACTTCACAGTATGTAACGGTGTAGGTACGGTGGGTATCAGGGCAACTTATCGTTTTCTGTCAAATTTCTCATTACATCTTCAACCTTCGTGGTTACTGGACTGCCTCGTTGGCCGAGTGGGTCGCAAGTGCGATTGTACGGTCGGTCTTCCAGGGTTGGTCAAAATATTACTAGGTTTTTAAAAAAAATCTCATTAGTTAGCACGGAGACTGGAATTGTGCCCGCTATATGCCAATAAGCTCACCCCCTATTACATTGGACTCATAACATAAATTGTGAAAAATGGGTGGTACATTGTGCAGTGGTATTAAATGCCGTAATATGCACCTCTGCCTGAATGACCCCCATCAGGAAAAAAGGCGTATTGTTATGGTATGTTATCTCCAACCTTATCGTACTGACATTAAGTCAAATATCCAGTGAATGAATTTGACAGATTGTAGTAGGGTGTGTTCTGCTGGCCATTGTACTACTACAGTCTATTACTTTGTGCTTGTCACTCGTGTTTTATTTAATAAAATGTTTTTTTATTGGACTTCAAAAAGAAAAATAAAGGAAGAGGAGGAGGAGGTTCTTAATTTAAACTATACCTATGTATGTAGTCACGGGCAAGTGATGAAAATCAGCGCCGCGACTCGAGTGCACTCGGGTCACGGCATTTAAACTGAGCTCTGGCCTTTTTGCGCCGTCTCCACTGTTTTTTTGTGTGTTATTGTACTTTGTGACTGTGTGCAAATAAACAATTTTTCTTTCTTTCTTTACATTTGTGCGCAAATGTCTCGCGATTGGCTAGATCGATTTTAATGCAGTTTTCACAAAAGTGTTTGTTACACTGCCAAGTGGTCGCAAGTGCGACTGCCGGGCAAGGGGTCTCGGGTTCGATTCCCGGGTCGGGCAAAGTATTACTGGGTTTATCTCAGTGGTAGCACGGAGTCTTGAACTGTGCCCGGTATATGGCAATAGGCTCACCCCCTATTACATGGGACTCATAACATAAATAGTGAAAAGTGGATGTTACATTACAGTTGCATTAAGTGCAGTAATGTGCACCTCTGCCTACCCTTTCGGGGATAAAAGGCGTATTGTTATGTTATGCATGTTTGTTAAACTTAGGAAAAGGTTGTATGTATTAATTAACTTACTTATTTCGAAAAAGAGGGCATTGAACTCGGTATTATTAAACGTTGTTTATAAAATAATTGTCTTTGTTTCAGATTGGCTGGTTCGAAGGGACCTGCATCCAGCAGCTACCAGCACCTGTAATATGAGGTCATCGTTGACCTTCTGGGTCGTCCGGCAAAGTACTGGCCGGTACGTGACCTGCACTGTGGTCTGCATTGTATTAATATATTCAATTAAAAAAAATATTTTAGTAATACTTTCTTGGATTACAAAAGTTTTCATTATATTTTTTAAAAGAAGAACCGTTGCCCCACACTAGGATTTTCTGCTATGTCGTGAGTGTGTTTACAAACATATAAATTCAATTTGTGGAAAAAACTATTTGTGGGTCACACAAAGTGTTGTTGTTCCTTGCGGGAATTGAATCCGCCACACGCTGGACGGCAGCCGGTTGCCCATCCACGCTAGCGACCGTGCAATCAGCCGGTTTCCGAATATTATACATATGTAATTGTGTAACAATTTACATACCTCTATAAAAACATGTTTGAATGACATTTTGGCCTTGACAATAACATTTTAACGATATATTAACACGAACCAGTTTCTATTTTCCTCTTTAGTTGGTTTTAATAAATTAAATAAAAAATGTATTAAATATTTGCCAGCGTAAATAAAGTCTAATAGAGCGTAACTTTCCAGAAAAAACCTAAACGTTACATAACGTTTGCACTTTTACTTCCAAAAGGAATAGACCAATATAATCAATGTTCATCAACTACATAATACATTTTATATTAATGTATTATGTAGGTTCAACTTTTAATTCTCCTTCAGGGAATAAAAAGCGTGATGTTATTATATGTATGTATGTATGTAATGTAGTATATTAAACAATCATACCTTACTTCTGAAAATTGTGTTAAATATTTTAAATATACTATAAATAAGTTGTCTTATCAGTAACATATTTTTAGAGCTCCTGTCGCCTGTGACACAGGAATATTCCTAGTATAGGCATATTATTTTTAAGATCTTGTCGCTTAATTAAGATATTTTTGTACCTATGTTGACCAGTGTTCTTATGAATAAAATTTTTATTTATTTTATTTATTATTTATATTATAAATTCCTATATTAACTAAAAATTGCGGGTTACTCACGTGAACATACTGAGAAAAGCTTTACTAGTTTCGAGCCACAAAGGTGGTTCTTCCTCATGAGCAGTGTGTGCAGTTGCGGCGATGTCGCGTGTTATTTTTTTAGTTAATTTAATATGTCTCACGATAGTTATTATAAAAACAACAGCCACGGAAGACTTAACGGTTTGTCGGGCGGGAGAAGTCATTGGATTGGATGATTTTCCCCTTTAAAAAACACAATAGACCTTCAAGCTTTTTTAGATCCCTCATGCATTTTTTATCGAAATTCAAATTCAGAGATCAGAGAGTAAAATTTGGGTATCTTTTCAGTGAAACAATCGAAACAGTCGATAGAATCCACAGGGCGTGACGGGTGTTAAAAGCCTGAAGGACTAACAGATGACCCACTCAGTCGACCATTGCAATTTGGCACGCGATGTAAACATTCTATATATTGATTCTACTTTTCAAAAAAGTATATATAGAACCTCGGTTAGTAGTACTACTCGACAGCGTCATATAATGGATTAAAAACGGCCTATTCAATTTGGACTAGCATTTCCAGAGATTAGCGCGTTCAGACAAAGAAATAATCTACATAATATAACATAACATAACATAACTTCCCGCCTTTTATCCCCGAAGGGTTAGGCAGAGGTGCACATTACGGCACTTAATGCCACTCCCCTATGCTTATTATGTACTCTTTGATGCCACTGTACAATGTAACACCCACTTTCCACTATTTTATGTTATAAGTCCCATGTAATAGGGGGTGAGCCTGTTGCCATATACCGGCCACATTTCCAGAGTCCGTGCTACTACTGAGATTTTTGTATTAAACCCAGTAATACTTTGCCCGACTCGGGAATCGAACCCGAGACCACTTGCTCGGCAGTTGCACTTGCGATCACTCGGCAAACGAGGCAGTCAAATAACCTAATAAGTTATATTACATCTAAGACTTATATAAGCTTACGTAAGGTTTGTATGTGGGCGCCCTTTTATAGCCTCTGAAAGGAAAAAAGGTACACTTAAAGGAAAATAAGCAACAAATTAATTCTAGCAATAATATTGTTTATTTAATTATTTTATTTAAACCAAACCTACCGGTACATCAGCAGGTATATGTATTAGATTTTGTAAGTACATAACTACCTGTAGGCACTTACATAATATTATTATAATACTGAGATCAAGTGTGCTTAAATTAAATAACATCGGTTTCCTTATAATGTTCGTCATTTATTTTATTTCGTAAAGTTAATATTATAACTTATTTGTTACAACTATTTTGTCGTACTACCTAAAGTATTTTTTTTTAAAAACGTTGCCCCACACTAGGATTTTCTCCTTTGTCGTGGGTGTGTTTTACAAACATACAGGTCTACATACACATGATACCCAGACCCGGAACAACAATCTGTGGATCACACAAAGAGTTGTTCCGTGCGGGAATCGAATCCGCGACACGTTATGCTGTAACCAGTTGCCCAACCACCTCGCCAACCTTGCAGTCAAGTATAAAAACTATCTCCTAATAAGGACTATATAATCAACCGTCAAATGATTCTAAACTTCAACTTATATATGGTGTATTCTTTGTAATATACAGTATCATAGATTCCGCAGTTTCAGCTGTGCATGTCAGCCATCTTAGTAACGGGAGTCCAAAATACATTGACAAATAACCATTTCTATTTATATATATGTATATAGAGTGAATTGTAACTTAACGTATTCCTCTCGGAAGATAATAATACAACTAATTTCCTACCTAAGTTGATGTTTACGCGTGGGCACATAAAGTTCCTTGTTTTTGCATCGGCATTCCGTCTATCGAAATTCTTCCCGGAAAATTAACTAAAGCGACTGATGAAAAAAGACGCTCATTCAGTTCAAGAGTGACCATCACAGAGATTAGGAACGTATTTATCATAGGGAAGATCCATTTGAACAAAATTTTGAATATGTCAATACAATAACTAGCCACTTCCGGACTAGGGACGTCAGGGCTAATTTTGTAGAAAAATAGTTATAGGTACTATTACTATTACGTCCTAAGAGGAATACGTCAAGGTACAAGTCACCCGGTATATATTTAGTCTGATAATTAATACACAGATGTTTATAATTATGAATGTCGATAATTAAATCCTATTATTCGTATCTATTCTCCGCCCTTTCAAATTTACTTAAAACAGACATAACGACATAAGTAAGAATTTTCCAATAGATTCTATAATAGAGACTTAGATTCTTTTAAACCTTCGCTAGAGAACAGACGAATAGATTCTAAAGGTGAACTTATTGGGTTAATCTCTTTCATAATTAGGAAAATAATAAAAAGAGTGTGTGGTCTTACCACAGCAAGGGTTATTTACTACATTATAGAGGGCTTGTATCACAGTTGGATGTAACTGTGTTACTGACATTTGTGACAGATATTTGTGACACCTCTAAGCTTGTGGTTGACATGGTACGGTTTGATGATGTTCCTGTGTTCGGTTCAGACACTGCAATCCCTCTCATTTGTTGGTATCTGAAATTGTAGAATTAATTTAATTTCTATTTAAATTTTAAGGTGTCTAAAGACATCATAAATTCAGACCGTACTAATGCACAGCACAGAGCTAAGAACTGCAAGATTTAGGTATAGAAGATTTTTATGATAACATTATGCACTTTTAAAATGTAAAATTTATTAGATTTTATATTTTAATGAGTTTATTCCTGTCAGTTTTTCATTCAGACTTACCTCATTTTAATTTTTCTCCAATTTCTTTTTTGACAGAAGTAATGGATTATTAATCCTAGAAGGACTGTTGTATTATATATATCGACGAAGAAGACTAGTACTTCTACTTCTGGGAAAAAATAAACTACTGCTCTTACTATCCAGTTTACTTCCAGGATCAACATGGCTGCCCAAAGTTTCACGTAAAGTAAAAACCTAAAACCAAGAAGAAAAATATGATAGGCCTGCCTATTTCTTACGTCCTATATGGACGAATACTTTGACGCCTAGTTGGGTTGGGTAGGTTTTTTAGTTTCGTTTAGTCAGTAGTGTGGGTTGTTTTAGGTATGTTCAAAGTGAATAAATAATGTTTCAAATTAAAATGGGGGTGACGGGCGTTAGCCACCTTGCGGGCTACCATCATCCCGAGTAATTTTCCGGCTTGCCTTAATTGGTTTGCTGAAGTGAACAATGACAAGGACAGCTCATGACAGATAATGACAGGTCTCCCACCTCTGGCTTGCCTTAATTGGCCGTCCAGAGTGGAGTCGCGAGAGCAGTGGTCCTGCTCGCAGAGTAAGAAACTATTTGTAAGTCGCGAGTTGGCCAGTGATGCAGGATGCTTCCGCAGGAGCAGATGATCTGAGTAGAAAGCACTGGTTGTTTGTTCACCCTTCAGAGTACTCGCATTTCCATTATCCCTCCGTTGCTATATTTAGTAACCATTCCCGGGAGTCGGGTCGGTGAGTTGGCGAGTTTCGCCTGCCAATATTAGGTGTAGTCTTACATTGTTTCAGTAGGTGCCATTGTAGTGCAATAGTCATACCAGCTTATAAGTCCACAGAAACTCATCCCCCTAGCCCTAACTTTATTCCATATCTTTGCAATAACCGGAGACTATCATTGGGTGCATTTCCATAGTGCATACAGGGATAGTCGCCGGTTTGTGACCCATTGCTTTTAGATTAAAGTTGTCTAAAGGGCCTCTACGCAGTTGGCTTTGGCCCTTCGTACGCCTCCCAAATGACAAGGATCCTTTGTTCCCGTGATTGGTTAAGACAAACATAATAATAATAATTAAGTAGATCTTCTTTGATCTAGTCTGATAGTTTACCTTTGTCTTTCAGTGTTTGTAGCATTGGTTACATTACTCTGTGATTGGTATAAAATTTTGGTCTGTTTTGTTGTCGCCGCAATTTTCAGGGCCGTTGAAGTGAACATCACTATGTTGGCGAAGAATAAGGTGATTAATGGCGTGAAATGGTAGACTAGCGCGCCATCGCCTGTAAGCAGAAGTAAATACATCATCGATTGGTTCGTAGTGTAATGTGAGTAGGTCCAAAACGTAGAATGTCAGTCTTCACCAACATGTTAAAGAACTGCTTAGCATTAATAGGTTACATTGAATAACATTTTGATTTTCACCAAAGTGTAAGTGACACCTAACAGTACAAGTAAGGGATTACTTTAAGTGCTTTCTCACGATATACAAATTTTATTTAAGTAACAGTTTAGGAGTGATTGGAAATAACCATAAGACTTTTACTTCACGTTTAACACTTGGATGATTCCTCCCCCGCGTCCCTTTTCTTAATTACCACCACTTATTGTGACCTAGCATTTAAACTGATCACTTACTTGCACTAAATTAAGTAAAAATGCGGGTTACTCACGTGAATATACTGAGAAAAGCTCGAAACTAGTAGAGCTCTCAGTATATTCACGTGAGTAATCCGCGTTTTTACTTAATTTAGTATGTCTCACGATAGTTATTATAAAAACACTTACTTGCACTGTTAGATGTCACTTATACGTTAGTGAAACAGGTATAAGTAGTTGTGTAGTTACACAGGTGAAAAGAAATGAGGTACTGTTTCTGATTAGGTACATACCACTCATGCCGGCGCAGCCATTTAATCGAAGTTTCGGTTTCAGAGGATGATAATTGGAAATATCCGAGAACTCCATTGCAATAAGTATAGCAGTGAGCCCTGCCGGGACACCGACCGCGTAGGCAAAGTATGCGGCTAAACGTGGACGGGAGATTTTATTTCTTCTTGAAATGGTGTGCTTGCCACTGAAAGCGTATATTATGATATTATCCACGGGTTATTCATTAAATAGATATTTTTTATAACATAACATCACGCCTTTTCGTCCCCGAAGGTGTAGGCAGAGGTGCACATTACGGCACTCAATGCCACTGTACAATGTAACACCCACTTTTCATTATTTATGTTATGAGTCCCATGTAATAGGGGGTGAACCTATTGCCATATACCGGGCACAATTCCGGATACGTGCTATTACTGAGATTATTAAAATCCCAGTAATACTTTACCCGACCCGGGAATCGTACCCGAGATCCCTTGCACTTGCGACTACTGAGCCAACGAGGCAGTCCCAGATATTTTTTTAATAGATAATAAATACCTGAAAGTCCTCCACATATCGAAGCACATAATGTTACGCCAGAAGAATGCAGACATAATGCTGAAGTACGTAATGATACCTGAAATAATAAAGTTGTGTAGGCATACAAGTATACCAGACGTGCTAACTTTGCTAATCATGGTCGAAGTACTAAATAAACTATTTAAATCATCATCATCATCATCATCATCATCATCAACAGCCTATAAATGCCCACTACTGAACAAAGCCTCTTCTCACACGGAGAAGGTTTGAGCATTAATCGCCACGCTTGCTCATTGCGGGTTGACGATTTCAAACTTATAATTAGATGTTTTCCTTCACCGTTTGTCAGTGGTGTCTAAATAATCTTAAAAAGTACATATAACTCGGAAAAAGTCACATTGGTACTTGCCGTTGGCAAATGGGAACCGGGTATCTTAACCTCCAGGCCACCACGACAGATTACAAGCCATTTTATAAATAAATATGTATAAAATAAAATGACAACTCACTTAAAACGACGCATATTTCTCGACTGATATTATTTTTGTACATGAACAGTTTCTTAATTCCCAACAACATGTAACCCACCACGAAATTTCCGAGGTACGCTACAATGGTCACACCGTGAAGTGTTTGAAGTTCCGGCAACCACGCGAATAAGGAAACTCTCAGGATAACGAAGAAACAGGTAACCAAGTAACCTGGAAATGATTTATTTTAGCATTTTTATTTTGGATTGATTAATTATTTTTTTTATAGAATAAGCCGGTAAACGAGCAGACTGATCACCTGATGGTAAGCAATCGGCATCGCCCATGGACACCTGGAACACCAAAGGCGTTACAAGTGCGTTACCGGCTTTTTGGGGATTAGGAGTTTGAGGATCGTTGGAGATTCAGGGATTGGGGAGATTGGGGAAGGGAAGGGTAATTGGGCCTCCAGTAACCTCACTCACATGACGAAACACAATGTAAACGTTGCTTCACGTTGGTTTTCTATGAGGCCGTGGTATCACTCCGGTCGAGCCGGCCCATTCGTGCCGAAGCATGGCTCTCCAACACTTCAATATTAGAGGTAATTAATTAAATAAAATAATGTCACAATGTACTCCAACTTACAAGAACCGGTCACCGTTAAATGGTATTTCTCTATTTCCTTATGGACGTGGCAAATGAAAGCGTTCAACTTGGTTTTATTTTGCGCCATAATGAACATGTCAATGCAGTATTTGCCTGGATCATAAATAAGTTCTTGGCCAATCGCCAAAGGGCTCTCCACTTCCAATTTACCATCCTGAAAAAGTACCGTATTAGAACTGATGAAAATCTTTTCTTTAGATTCTTTTGTTTTGCGAGATACAAAATACGTTATTAATAATCACTACATAGTATAAAACAAAGTCGCTATCCGCCGTCTGTCTGTCCCTGTATATGGTTAGATCTTTAAAACTACGCAATCTCTAAATTTAGAGGTTTCTATAAGCACATTTTTTGCGCTTATATTGCAAACGCTGGCTGAACTCTACGAGATAGACCAAAATAATGTACTATAATATTGCCCACCTTAATTGTCTAATAACAAAAAAGCTGTGAACGTTGTGTATAGGGACATTCTGTAGTAGATATATTGCACCGGTGCGAAGCCGGGGCGGGTCGCTAGTATAGTAGGTATACTAATAAAAAATAGTTTAGTTATACCCACACAGGCTTAACAACAGACCGAGTAGTGTAACAGGTTCATGTCACGATACTGTGACATTCACCAAATAAATCCGGTTTCTCCACTTAAATGTTGAATATTGCATAATGAGTATCAATAATTGATCAACCTATATTTGGAAATTTACAATAGAGCATATATAGCAACTGTACTTACAGATCTGAGCCGAAATACTTTGGTAATGTCAGTCACCAGTTTCTGTTCCTCTTTTAATTGTCTCAAACACGATAAATGGTGTCCGGCCGAGAATTCAAATTTGTTTTTCACATCATATTTACTCAGTTTAGTGTGTTCGTCCCATACAGGTGGAATAAACTCATTTTGACTGCGTTCTGCTGGACTACATACATTGTTCAGAAGGTCAAAATTCTCTCCGAGTTTACAGCACTTTCTTGGGCATACGGTGTTATTGCGACACAGGCGTACAATATTATCTGAGAAACCATTAATTAATTAATTAATTATTCGATATTTATAGTGTCACGAACTTAGTAAACATAACATAACATCACGTATTTTATCACCGAAGGGGTAGGCAGAGGTGTACATTACGCCACTGTACAATGTAACACCCACTTTTCACTATTTATGTTATGAGTCCCATGTAATAGGGGGTGAGCCTATTGCCATATACCGGGCACAATGCCAGACTCCTGCAAATTTTTTGAAAAACCCAGTAGTGCTTTGCCCGAATACTTGCCTGGCAGTCGCATTTGCGACCACTCGGCCAATGAGGCAGTCCAACTTAGTTAGTTATTATGTAAATAAATTGAAACTTATTTATAAAAATGATGATAGGCTACCTACATACTAGTAGTAACGCAAATAGCTCTTGCTGTGTACTTACCGTAACGAATCGGGCCTTTTTTTAAATTAGTCTTTCTATTATTATGTCGGAACGTAAGCTCTTCCTTCCATGTCATCGCAGAAAGTTTTGATGAATTTCTGGCGTTATTTAGTCGCGAATTTGAATTATTATTATGTAAGCCAGTAGTATTCACTCGTGAGTTAGTATTATTGTTCAGCGCTCCAGAATTATTTAGTCGTAAGTCAGTTTTATTATTCAATGTTCCTGAATTATTTCCTTGTGAGTTAGTTTTATTGTTCTGTGTTCCAGAATTATTTACTCGTAAGTCAGTATTATTGTTCAGTGCTCCTGAATTATAAACTCGTAAGCCAGTTTTATTGTGCTGTGTTTCTGAATTATTTACTCGTGAGCCGGTATTATTATTTTGTGGTCCAGAATTATAAACTCGTAAGTCAGTATTATTGTTCAGTGCTCCTGAATTATTTACTCGTAAGCCAGTTTTATTGTGCTGTGTTTCTGAATTATTTACTCGTGAGCCGGTATTATTATTTTGTGGTCCAGAATAATAAACTTGTAAGTCAGTATTATTGTTCTGTGGTCCATAATTATTTACGCGTGAGTCAGTATTATTGTTCGGTAATATAGTATTATTTACTCGTGAGCCAATATCACTCTGTAGTGTATTGTTGTTGTAAAATTTGACAGTCTCAGCATTTTTTATGTCTGTTTCATTATTTTGGTTTAAATAAGGTTCAGTAATATTTACAGAAGACGAATGGTTAAATGTATTATTATAATTGTTAGGTGTTGGAATATTCACTGATGTTTCGTTGAATTCATTTTCACTTGTATAATTATAATCAAATTCTTCGTAATCTTCATAAGTGTCTAAGTAATGAAATATAGAACGAGGTATCCAGTACGCCACGGTATGCACACGAACAATTATTGTAGCCACAATCACAACATGAATCCACATTGTCGTATTTTCGTATATTACATGTTTTATACTACCGTCGCGAGTGATATATATTTGAATACTAGTCTCAAAGCGACTTAAACAAAAATCATCTCATGATATTATTTCATGTATGTATAGATAGATTCAACTTGATGTGGTCCGACTACTATTGATATTATTGAATTTCTTTAAAAAAGAACTGTTGATATTACGTCGTTTTCGAATACGTATCCTGCTAGTATTATAAATGCGAAAGTATGTATGATTGTGTATTTGTTTGTTACTGCTTCACATCAAAACGATTGAAGAGATAGAGATGAAATTTTGGAACATGGTGTGGAATGTCTGACAAGAGCGAAGCTGTTAGCAGAAGAAGCAATATATTCATATATAATATAATTATTATTTTATTTATCATAATGTACCTAATTACAATTAAACAGCTTTTAATATTAAAACGAAACTATATTTTAAGAATAAATATAGTGTAAGGTAACGCCTTCTAATCCCGATGTGGTAGGCAAAGGTGCATGTACACTGGAACATCTACTTTTGTCGCAATACAAACAACGTACCTTTTCAGTTATGAGTCTTATGTAATCCTAGGTAAGCCTATTGACACATATCGGGTACAATTCCAGACATCGTGCTGCAACTAAGATTTTTAATTCCCCAATAATTGAGAATAGAACCTGTATCTTGCTTTGCTCTTACGATCACATGATCACCTGTCTAGCTATAGCAATAGTTGTATGAGAATAGAATGAAAAAGAATAATAATTCTACTGGATTATTCCTTAGTATTATCTTTAATATAATAAATGTGCGACTAAGAAGCTAACTTTAGACTTTATCTAATTATGCAAAATTATAGCATAATAATTCAGTCCGGTCCAATGTGATGTTATTTCAACAATATAGGTACCTACGTTTTCCTTTTTTTAGCATAAATACTTGTTTTCATTCTAACTTACTATCATAATAATAAAACGATAAAGTGAATAACAGAATGGCATATATGATATTCTTTGAATATTTCTACAATTATATAATGTCATGTGAAATAATAATTTTGAGGTCGGTTTATTGATATACCTACCTACTAAAACCTTCTCCTAAGCGTAAAGACTTTTCTGAAAACCGCATCAAATGAAAATCGGTTCAGCTAATCGCGCACAAACATTCATACATATGTAACATAGAAGTTATACTGAGAACCATCTTCACTATTTATAGTCGGTTTATTACTTAAAATCTTAAAATAGTATTTTAAATATTGTTAACTAATATGATATCTACTGGTACTACTACGTAGACTAAAGTAACACCTAGTGTATTACTAGTAGTAGGAAAAAGTAAGTCGTTGGTCTAGCGGCCCCCGTGCAAACTGTATGATTATTTTTCTCGCTCATCAACGGCCTGCGATGAAGGCTATAACACTCTCTAGCCTTTCTACTATTCCCAGACACGAAAATCGGCGGGACGCGTGAGGCAGCGAAGCGCTGCCTCCTCGCAACCCAGCCATCGCGAAGGACACACCGGGCGTCGGGGATCGCGGGACGATCTCCGGCCACCATAAGCGCGGGCCTGCGGACGGCGAGCATGGGTGGCTCCCCGTCCGACCAGAAACAGACCCGAGCGTACGGCGCGTCGCGTTCCGCGCGCGCCTCAAAGAGCCATCAGACCACCACAGATGGGGCCCAATAGGGCCGATGCCGATTCGGAGTCGCGGAGAATCTAACGGGTAACCGGGGCTCCGGCTCGACGTGCAGGAGAAGGAACGGGGTGATTTTTAGTCAGTAAGAGTCTGACACTCCCTTCCGCCTCACCCAGGCGGGAGCAGTCATTCGATGATTTTCCCCCCTTAAAAAAAAAAAAAAAAAGACACGAAAATCGCTCCGTAGCAGCGTTAAAGATAGACAAATATAATATAATATCTAGTCTAAAATTGTGCCCATCGTTTAACAATAGGTTCTATTTTTTATAATAACTATCGTGAGACATACTAAATTAACGTCGCGCTCATGACCTCACGTTGCCGCGACTTTACTTAATTACGTCTATTTGTTAAAGGATCAATCATACCGTATGCGATGCGAAGACAACCTGCATGTTACGTGAAATTTTTGCAATCCGAGCTCTGATTTCTGCTAGACTGATTGGTGCTACATTCTTAGTACCTAAGTTATATTTGTAGAGCAACTTAAAACATCAGCCGTTTAAGGGGGAAAGTTATTGAGTTATTCCTTCCGCTGTGGGCGAGATGAGACAGAGTGTCAGACTCTTACTGACTAAAAGCGAAGCACGAAGGACTTCGCACCAAGCTTCCTTGTGCTTCTGGTAAGGAGTGGAATTCTTTGCCAGAGCCTGTGTTTCCTGAAGAGTATAACTTGGGTGTGTTCAAGACTAGGTTGCTTATGGGATGACGTGCTCCATCTTAGACCGCATCATCGCTTACCACCAGGCGAGATAGTAGTCAAAAGTCGGTGTATTCATTGTTGTATTAACTGTAGATCTTGGCTTACAAGAGTTGCAGCGATTTTGGGAGGTTGTGGCGGACTTGTCGCATTAAAAAGAAGTAGTCATGTCGGCCCATCAATAACCAAAAAAAAAAATTACTCCGTCCCTACCCGTTCGGTGGCTGGCACTTCGAGTAGTCGGAGCCACGGTAACCTTTGCGTTTCTCCGCAGCCCTGAAAACAACAGCGTGCCACACGCTGGCTCGAAGAAGATTTGAGATTTAAAAAATAGTCACCATTTTCATACCTCTATGTGTAAATAATAAGTTGAAATAAAGCTTCCTTCGTAGGCATTTATTACCTGGAGTTTTTGGGCATTATCTTATATCTTATACTTCTTATACTATTATATAAAGTGGAAGAGTTGTTTGTTGTTTTTTTATTTGAACGCGCTAATCTCCGTAACTACAAGTCTGATTTGAATAATTCTTTTTGTGTTGGATAGCGCATTTATCGAGGATGGGTATAGGATAAACATCACGCTACGACCAAAAGGAGCTGAGCAGAGTGTGTAAAACCACGCAAAAGTAGCTAGTATATTTTATGGGAATATAATGTACTGGAATGGAAAATAAAAAATTGTTTTCATAAAATACATTTATTAGTCATAATGTGTTTTCTTCTATATTTGCTCTTGTAATAGTCTTACGTAATAGACTTAGGTACATTATGTGTATATGTAGATACTAAATATATAGTATCT